TATAGGGCTAAATAAGTCGCATAATCCAGTTTTTAATCTTCAGTTTCAAACAACACAAAGGCTTTGTTATGATAAATACATGTTCTGCTTAATTTAATGTTGCAGGGCTACTTCCTTCAAGTATGAAATTTGTAGAGCACTTTGGCAAATAATTATTTAAGAACTTGCATATCTTTAAATTTTAGCTGTTCTGTATTCCTAGTTGATCAGGATAGCAATGAGCTAGTGGCAAAGGTACTTGATGGACTGCCAACAACCTGCCAGAAAGGAGTAAGTTTCTGTATACATTTTTTTAATTCGAAGAATCTTATTCATTTTCGAAATTATTGTGCTTTAACTAGTGACTTGAGTTCAACTCATATATCCTTGGTTTTCTAGCTATAGGGGTCTGAATTATAAGCGAATTATTGAAAGCGCACAAATATGTGTAGCAAAAATAATTCATATTAAGTAAAGTTTAGATGGCATATAATGCCTAAAATATGTGCTAAACTTGCAAAGTTTTACATCAACTTTATTGAAAAAATAAATAACGACATATAAACGCTTTTTTTCGTATAGAAATAGAGTTTTAAGACTACCATTAAATCAGTTAAATGAAATGTATTCACCCCATTTCGTTTAAGGCGATTAACGACTGGTGGTAGAATTTTCCCATAATGATATGAATAGAACTGATGTTTCCATTGAATTCCACATATACTTGCTTTACCAAAAGTTGCTCTCATCCAGTGTGAAATACAGTTTCGAACTCGCCTATGTCTTATCAACACCTCCAATAAGAGTATAATCGTGACAGTGCATCATGTGAGCTTGACACTTTGAACACTCAGCCACATTGCCACAAGTGCCCTTAGGTTACAGAGCAGATGTGAATTTCAAGAAAGATTATGCCTCTTCCAATATCACATTCTTTTGTGGGATTTTTAAGGTCGAAACTGAAATCCAATGAAAACGTTAGGTCTACAAATATCATTGTGGGAAAATTCTACTACCAGTCTTTCATCACCTTAAACAAAATTGGGTGAATCCTTCTCTTACTACTGATTTACTGGTAGTCTTGAAAATCTATTTTAATACCAAAAATAAATATATTGATTCAGTTTTAAGTGCAAACTTCCTGGCTTCGATAGTGTTTTCTATTCAGAGCTGCGAATACGTTGAACCTTTTCAGTACCAAGTAGTTTTTATCTAATCTTATTAGAATACTAGTACTCCCTATACCCAGAATAGTATTGTACATCTCTTTATAAGGATTTCTCTATCATTTAATTCATGCATGAATCAATGACATTTATTGGCAAAGTTAACTAGTGTCAATCAAGTTCACTTACTCCTTTTATAAGAGCAATTTCTGGTTCATGGGGAAGAATATTTTCACTTTTGAATGAGATTTTCCTGTTTAAGTCTCAGTTTTTCTGTAGGCTTAAGCCAAGAAGATTGCTTTATTATTTTTGATTTTACACTAACTTATAAGATAAGAGTTTATAATACGCCCAAATAATAAGGAATTTTGATGTCGTTTACATTTTAGCGGCTTGGCTAATTGTATTTACTTCAGAGCGTAAGGATGAAGCGAAATGTTGCTTAATTTTTTAACTATATGTTTCAATAAAAATATTCGTACAATGGCGAGCAAGAGATATATATATATATGAATGTCCTATGTACTATTTTAACATTTGTTTGAAAAAAATGGACAGAATATGATTAGATAATAAAATCATTTTAGCATGTAAAAGCTACTGCAGAGTATAAGTATAAATATATCTTTAAACATATATAAAGCCAAAATATTTGCTTATATGCTCAGCATAAATTGCTTTTAAAAGCCAATATTCTGTTGTAAATTGCGTTTTCATAAATTTTAGGAGAAATTCATTCTTCCGGATGGTACAGAAGTAGAAGTAAGAAAATGATTATATTTGTTATTCAATTTCACTTAAATGTGAGATTTCAGACTGGTTACGTTTTATAGGAATATGTTAGCCCCATTAAATAAAGTTACTTGTCACATCAAGTTTAGTGTGAAAGCAAATACACGCTTTATAAATTTTCATTCATTATCCAAAAATGTTATCACGCTAAAATATGCACGATGAGCATTAATAGTTCTAACATCCTCAATTAATTTTAAATAGATAGTACTAGATCCGGAAAAATGTCATACATTTTATACTAAAATTAAACAATTTTCTTAAATATACTCGGACGTCTTTTATGCTTATTCATTCAGTTTCATAAGTATAATTTATTATGATTTTATAAAATTTTCCTTTTTTTGGTATCCAGTTCAAGCGGCTTTTAAAAATATTCAAATTTTATAGCTATATACATCTTTTTTATTCCTATTTTTAGAATTTATATTAAAATTTATTATTAAATTAGAAGCCAGAGGAAATTCGAATGCCAAGAAATACTGGGATTGCTGGTTATGCAGCTACGACTGGTAGGTTTCTAAGGTCACGTATTTTATCACAACTTATTGTAAATGTAATTATATGCGATATTAAGCTAATAGGGAACTTCTTTTTCTGATATTGTAATATCTTCAATTATATATTTCAAGATACATGTTTTAAAATATTGTCCACATTTTCTTAAATTCCTTGAAGCACATTTGTAACTTAGATTTTTCTTAACTGAAAACTGCAAATTAATTACACCTAGTTTGCTTGGATTAAAAATAAAAATATATTATTTAACCTTTGAATTTAGGTGAATTAATAAATATCAAAGATGCTTATACACACCCGCTGTTCTATCGTGGCGTTGATGAAGAAACAGGCTTTCGGACAAGGTACAGCTCATCGTAAAGCGGTAATAACACAATAAGAAAGAGGCTAACGCTATATAAATGATTTTAGAAAAATCACGATTGCGTATTTCTTGCAAACATTTTAGTATACCTCATAAAGTTAAGGTTCTCATTTTAGCGTAATATTCAATGGTTTGATCCGGAATTTAGTATTTAAATATATGATCTAACCAAATCGTTAAAAATCACGATACAATATGATCATACAGTTAAACACCTTAAGCACCCCATATAATGAAGCATAATTTATGCATATTTTGAATATAAAATTTATATATTAAAGCCAGAGTAAGCCCATTTAATTTGGAACGACTTATACTAAGTTTGTTCCATACCACATATGGTGCTGCATTAAAAAGGTCATATATTATGACCGACAGCCCATTCCATTAAAAATAGAAAGGATTAAAAAGGCCAAAATCAACTATCGTTCCACACACAAAATTTGTGGTTTAAGCATTTTTAAATGCAAACAAGTATTATTGGACTAAACTTTAATCTAATCTCTTACTAATTATCAAATATTAATAAATTTAGAATAAACGCCTTTAGTCACTAGGTGTTTTCAGATTTCCACTGATTAATCGTGTGCTTATTTATTATGGTTGTTATTGTACAAATCTGAATAGACGCAAAGTGCTTTATGTTTTATAGAATACTTAGCCCCAGGTTATTACGGCATCTGACATTTCACTGATATGCATTTATTTATCTCCTCAGGGCCATTTTATGAAATATGTGTTACTTAGTTTTCAATCAGTTTAGCAATCCTGATTCTCTTTAAAAATATTTGTTTTTCTCAGTAAACTGAGTGAGAGGAAGATGTTTATCCAAAGTTTAGTGTGCATTCTATTTTATTAAATAAGTTTCTATTAGACAAATAGCAACTGATGAAAGTAAATCGATCTGCGGCATTGGATCGTATACTGTTATTACAAGATTTTCGTCAACTTCCACCTTCTCCCTAAATTAAAGAGTTCAAAGGACATTTGTAATTATTTATCCTACCTTTTTTATTAATAAACAGGAACATCCTCTGTTTCCCAATAAAGAACGAACAAGGTGGAATTGTCGGTGTTGCCCAACTATGCAACAAAATTAGGGCCCATCATTTTTCTAGAGCAGACGAAGAGATGGCGCGAACGTTTTCAGTTTATTGTTGTATCAGCATTGTTCATGTACGTTCTGCTCTCGTAATTTAATTTTTAATATCTTTTCTTCTAAATAAGTTATAACAAATTAAAGTATCCTGGATCTTTTACACATACATAGTGGAACGTAATAAATATGTTATAGTATGCAATGCCTAAAGTTGCTCATTTATGTTGTATGCATAAAGGTGTTTGATAAATAAAAAAATATTACGGTAAAAACTTATTGTGGCCATAATTTTGTTTTCAAAAGGCTTATTTTAAATCAATGAGTATTATATAATTAAACTTAAAAGATAATAAAATCAAAATTACAACAATGAATATTCTTTGCAATTTAATAATAAATAATTCTTGTATAATTTCACTTAATATATCAGAACGAAGATTTACTTTCAGATAATATATGTTTTAATTTGGAAAGGAATTCGCCTATACAGTCCCACATTTGCTGCTATTAATCAGGAATATGCTTTCATGTCTAACTAACGCATATCTAACAAAATCATAAACTTTCGTAAATGTTTAACGACAGCACAGAATGTGAACGAAAACTTAATTCTTCTAGCTATTTATACCCGTAGCGACAATCATTTGTTCATTGTCTTCGTCCACATATTGCGTGGTGATCCAGAATCCATTCTCAGACAACAAATAATTAGCATACACTATAAAATTTTGATAGTCAATTTCATTTTGAAAATAAGACTAAAAGTAACTTCAAGAAATCTGACTTATTCTGTGGGTTTCTCTAAATATATGCTTTTATTAGACTATATTTTATGACAGTTCTTAGCATGTAATGTAGACTTGAACCAGGCGTTTCGCTGGCTTCATCAGGGGATCTTGCCATTTTCAACACCAAGCTACAACTTTTCAGAGAGATAGCCGAAGTTAATCCTTTGACCTAACTGCTCTTCAATGGTTGTGCTATTAATCCTCTTTCTTTCCTGGCACAACTCCCTACTCTCTACCCCATGATCTCAATTCCACCATAGTACAACTTCGGATTTGTTTATATTCGACTGCTCTATCACGCCTGAAATTTACTTTGCCTCATCTCCTCCTCGATTTTCTGACCCGACTTGGACCTCATAACCAGATCTTACTCATGGGCACGTAGGTACCTTTCTTATCTTTCAAGTTGACTGATTTCCCTTGGTTCCAGTCAATGTATACGCTCTACTTCGAGCGCTGTTCCTCGAGCCTTAAGGGGTGCATACGCCGTCGCCTCACTGAGCAAAACGCCTAGGCCCTAATTCCAACACTTTCATATATGGCACAATGTCTCCATTTGTCATCTTCCTAATTTAACCCATGTACCCTGAGCAAACTATGAACGTCTATCCCTGATCGAATGCTACCGTTCAAGTGTACTTCTAGAAAAGTTAGCCATAACGCCGAATTTCTGCGACGATTGCGTTTATCCGTCTCTCTAGCCCTGTTACTGCCAGACCTCCAAAGTTTTAGTTGCTTCTTCGAGCAGACTACATTCACTGAAAACTTCTTGATTTCCATACCCCTGTTTTCTCCGAGGTTGCTTAAGCAATAAGCAAAGTTGCCGCGGACTCTGCCTTCTAATCTTTTGTTAATTAAATTACTTCCCTCTGGGATGTCAGTTGCCTCCATGAGCTTGCCTTTCCTTGTGCTTTCACACTATGAGGTCGGTATTTCTGCTGCCTTATAATTGAGCTCATATTCAGTCCATGCCATGTGTTCTGCTATTTCTTATCTTTTAGTATCTATTTTCCTGCAGAAGCTTTGATGTTTCTAGAATCGTATGTTGATTTTTCCCCTTCTTTGCCAATATATTTCTGCTCGCAGACGCCACATGCTATGCCATAAGCTCCCAAACAATCCCAGTTGTCTAACCTCTCTTGTAGCGTTGGTAAACTTGTGAAGATTGTTGTTTTTTACCTTCATGGTCACCTGAATATTCCATTTCGCTCATATTGGCCGTAGATTTTGAGTTACTATGCAGGAAGTTGAACACCAACTTTTATGAGGCTTTTTCCATCCTTATTTTTCTTCATAAACCCGACCTACCACCGACTTTTCACGGCCCGTATGTTCCTTTGTATTACTTCTTTAGGGTATCCGTTTCCGAAGAATATTCTAGTCGCTTTGTCCAATTCTTTATCCCAATATTCCAGGTTCAGTAATCCTAGGCTTCTTATGGTCATGCTTCTCATTATTCGAATCTATAACATGTAATTGTGATGATTCTGTAAAACATATTCATGAAAAAAAATAGTGGATAACCTCGAGATAATACTGCAGCAACCAAGAGTGTTCCTTTGCAAGAAGTCAGAATTAGTGATAAATTTGTTTATTGCTTAAGCAAACTCCGAGAAGACAAGACCAGCCGAGATTGAGGAACTATTGTCAATCAGTGGAGCAAGTATCGTAAGAAAAAGGCGGATGAGGGACCTTCAGAAATCAAGAAGTTTTCAGCGCGTGTATTATACTTGTAGAAGCAACTACAACTGTGGAGGTCTGGTGGCATAATGGCTAAATTGTATAGAATTCTACTTGAGGTGCCACAAGTGACCGGAGCTAGATGTTCACATTTTGCTCACGGTACATGTGCTAAATCATTGAAATGACACGTATATATTGTTGCTAGTATCGGAAGGCATGGGAATCAGAGTCTAGGCGCTCTGCTCAGTGACGCAACAGTCTAGGTACTACTAAAGACTTGACGAAGAGAGCTTGAAGTGAAGCGTAAACGTGGACTCGAACCGAGTGAAATAAATCAACTAGAAAGATAAAAAAAGGTATTTGCGTGCTCATGAGTGAGATCCGGTCAGGAGGCTTGCGTCCGATTAGCAAATCGAGTGAGGAGAGGTGTGATAGCGTCATACTAAACTCACTAAAAGAGGGAGAGCAGTAGAATATAACCAATTCCGAAGTTTTAATAGGATGGAAATGAGGTAAGGGGTAGAGAGTAAGTAGCTGTGCCAGGACAGAAAGAGGAGTGATAGCACAACAGTTGGAGAGAAAGTAGGTTTCGTTGACGAGTTGTAACATGGTACTGAAAATGACAAGCTTCTCTGATGATACCGAATACGATGCTGGCAAAACATCTGGGAATGAACTAAGTCCACGTTCCAACACTAAGAATAATCATGAGTACAACAGCAGAGGACTTCGGGCAACCTGCTTCTGATCTACTCGTCCTTACAACAGGACAAATTTGCGAAAACGAGGTCAGAACATTCATATATCTCGAAAGGAGATTGTGACCAAAATAAAGTCTCCAATATCTTTTTCTTCATATCTACGCTTAAATTTTTTGATTGCCCTTATCAAGATTCGTCGAATCTTTATATTCCTAAGATTATCTTCAGAGCTAACTCTAAGATCATTTACCAAAAAAAGATATATAAACTTTACTTTATTCAGATGTGATCCATGTAGCAAGGACATGATCATGAGACTTACTCAGAGACTTTAGCCTCGAATTAGTCTCCCAAACGCAGTAGAGAGGTAATAACGCCTCTATGGGGTGGCAGGGGTCGAGTGAAATACGTGAACCAGGGAGAGTGCAGACGGATCTTACGGGGCAAGAGGGAGACTCTGAAAATACCTAAGGAAAGAGGACTGTGTTGCGATATGGTAGACTGATCAACATTCCCAGCACAAGGGTGAAATGGTGAGAACGACAATGTGGAGTGTGAAGGATTTTCATGAATGCCGCTCAAATGAGAACACCTCACTTCTTCTAAATAAGAACGTTTTAGTTGTAACAGTGAAGGCGTGATAGGAGGATATAGGATAGGTAAATAGCCCAGGGCAGAAGGGGAGATACCACTACTGTTTACCACACGTTTGGTTCGGCTTCACTTGTCTTATTGACGAGTTGTGGTGTGGTGCTAAGAATGACGAGACTCACTGACTCAATGGATTCCGGACTAGATGCGTTCCTCTACGTCTTCATGCCAATATTACCAAGTTGCAAAAAAAAGGTCAAACAACCTAATTACCTTATTTAATTACTGAATACCAAGCAAAAGGAGTCTTTTATAGTCTTAACGTATTAAGCTAGCCAATAATCTATAGTTTTGGGGACGCTTTTTTTATACGATATTTGTATGAAAAATGTCCTTAGTAACTGTCCTTCCGTAAGCTTAAAGAAACATAACTGAAAACTACCCATTGCTTAAGGAAAAAACTTGGCTTATTCACAAATCATACTTTCGCAATGAATCAAATATAGTACATTAATTGATTATTTGAATGGCTTTGCAAGTAACCCATGTTATTCATTAAAAAATTTCAAAAAAATATTAAATTTTGTAAAAACTATTAGCAATGAAGCATTAGTTCTTATTTCCATTAAATATTATATTTTTATTTAACAAATTAGAGTTAAAGTTTGTCCATTAATGATTATATAGATCAAAATAAAGTTTATAGTTTCTCTGGCTTATATATATATATAAATTATTTAAGGCCTATTTATGCATAACATTTAAGATATTTAGACTACCTTATGTAGGGTTAGATATAGCAACAATTTTAAAATGAAAATTTTAGTAAGCAGGCTTTTAGTTTACCTCCAATTGGTATCTGATATCATGTCTAAAATAAGAAACTAAAATTCCTAAAAATGTAATATTATTATTTTAAAAAGCATATAGCATGTGTACAAATCATGACGATATCTTTATTTATCAGAGTGACATTTGATGAGAAATAGCGAAACAATTTTGACTTTAATTTACTTTATTTTTAAACGCTAACTATGGCTGCGGCCACTCATAGATTTTAAAGACATTTGGGTTTTAATTATTTTAGATAAATACATTGATACTGAAAAATTAAGTGGATAATTGCTCAACTAACTATATTAGCTGTAATCTGGCTTAAATATCTATACCCCTTCTGTATATGCACATTTTTCAACAGTTACTAATAGAGATATTGGCAGTCGGTCTGTGCGGACTTTTAGAACATAAATATTTATTTAATAAAGTATAAAAGCGAGAAAATAATCCAGCTTGTATGATATATTTATTAATTAAACGGCTGTATTCAGAATTTTGTAGTTAATAAGACTTTTTACTTTGATCCTATCAGGATACTGATTGTTAACAAAATATGCTGACTAAAGATGGTATCTTTCAAGCATATAACGTGACTACCCAAGATAAGTTGAAGAGAATGTCCAAATTTGACATATATTTATGCTTGAGGCCCTACTACTCATTTGATCATTTTCGGCAAATAACTTCTAATAATTTGTCCTTTATGCTTTATTATAAAGTCACTCATGTACAAAAAAGTCCAAGATGCCCAACATCGAACAAAATTGGCCAATGAACTCATGATGTATCATATGAAGGTAAGCAACAATATTTTTGAGAATTAAAACTAAAGATTGTTACAATACATTTATTGCTTATTTGCAAAGTATTATCTTTTTATAGAATTCTTACTATTTAACCGTTGAGTTGATACAAAGTGCTGGCAAGTATAAATTAGGTTAGTCTTTCTGGAAGCTAGCAAACTTTAAATTGCAATAGGTATAAAAACTGGTTTTCAAAGAATACTTTTATAAATTAATGTTTGAGTACCATTGGCCTTATTTCATTTGAGGCCAGTGGAAGCGATTCGTAAGTTGGTCTAACCATAAGCCATGGCGGGATTACCCTAGAGCTGTGATTGTAGATTAGTGCTAATAGGTCCTCGGCGCACCACCCTGCGACCCCGATCAATCCTTGCTGAGCCTTCTTCCGTCATATGATAGATATCGTCAGAGCAGGACACCATGCCTTACGATAATTCATCATGCATAAAGACAATAAAGATGGCCGGCTGGAATCCTGCCTACTTTTTATAGTTTGGCTTGGTCCACTAAGCTAGACATCCTATGATTTTGTTGGAGATCCTATGCTTTTCCTAAATGCTGTTTAAAAGTGAAATGGCTGCAATTGAAGCATGAAATGGATGCAATTATGACCGAACAGCTGTATTCTCCCTTACAACACTTATCATTTTTGTCGTTTGATCCTGCAGTGGTGCCGCATGTAATTGCATTCCATTTTACGTGTGTTGTATGCTTGTTACACAAGTGGGGTAGGAGAGAGAAAACCAAATTTGAGGCTAATCAAGCCTTCT